GTTTTTTCCCCCCAAAGCCCCAGTAGATAGTTGTATGTCATAGGTTCACATCCTTCTAGTTGCTGTACGTGGGACTCGGCCTCGCGTTGGACGGAGAAGTGGTGCCTCGGGGCGCTCCCGGGATCCGAACCCGGGCCGCCAGCATCAGAGCGCGCGCACTTAACCGCTAAGCCACGGAGCCGGCCTCAAATTATTTCTTTAAAATCATAATATGTATGAGTAAATCAACTGACTTTTAGTTTTAAAATACTCTCAGCCTTTTTAAATGATTCTTTCCATTGACAGTACTATCAATTATCTGTTAACAATGAAAAGATGTTGCCAATCAGAGACATGGCCCTTTCATCCAATAAAAGGAGTGTAATCTAATAGAACTACAGATGAACTTAAGAAGAATAAAGACACATCATGAGGGCTTATGTGGCCCATGTGCCCCGCCTCTCGCACAGGCCTCTTAATCAAACAGGACCACTGAGCCAAACAACAATAAAATGTGCTGTTACATTACCACGGTTCAGTAGTAGAAGCAATTCTCATGTAGGAAACATGCTCCTATTAAGGATGCAATAATGTGTTCAAGAGAAGAACTATTTTAAATTTCCCAGGACTAACACACTTAATCTGACTTAATAATAGCTGGCAATTAAAAGGCACTTCACACTGCACAAACCTTTTCCATATTTATGACCTTAATAAATATTTATGTATATTTTCTAAAAACAAGTGGAACATTGAGGAAAAGGCAGGAGCCTGCAGATGTGATTAACTGCTTGGGACAATGCTCACTACAAGGGGTTTTTTCTCATCTTCGTATGACGCTTGGGGAAAAAAATGCTCAAAATAACAAAGTAAATATGCTCAGAAATACATCATGTAAGTGCCAGAGTCCTCGAGGACCGGAGTTCAGGTCTCAGCTTCCAATGCAGAGGTCTATGAACCAATATTTCCCAATGAGGAAGGCTCGAGGAGCCCCTTGTAAAGCTGCTGTCTTGTTGAAAATGACATGAATGGGGAGTTGTTTTTTTAATACTTAAAAGGACGCTTGCTTCCACAAAGCAAGAAGTATTACTTTAAAGAAGATAAGCGAATTGCTCTTTTTTCTGAATTGGACCAGTTTTGAAATAAACGCAGCACCAAGACCTCACAAACTGGAAGGCGGGGAAGGGAAGTGGAGAAGATGAGCCAGCCTGAACGGCAGGGTCAGAAGGCTGTTACTCTTTTTGAGTTGGAGAAACTGTCCAAACAATATAATTTTGTACAAGCTTTAGTGAGAAGAAATACTGCAGTAAAAAAAACGGTAACGAACTTCACAGAGAGCTGAAGCTTCACTCCGTAGATTTCAACAGGCACCTTCAAAGCAACCAGCCCTGGGTCTACTCGGCCCAAGGACAGGAGAGCTTTACCTCCAGAGTCGGTCAGCCACGTGGGTATGTGACTTGGCTGCCGGCACATACCCCACCTCTCTGTTGGAGAGCAGAAAAAGCTTTGGTGAGTTTTGAAGTGTTTAGAAAAATTACAAGTCATTTCCAATATAAACTAACTCCAGTAATTTTGCCGTAAATAATCAATGTAGAAATAGAATGCCTATTAACTTAGTCATGACTTTTCAGATGGAGTATTATTTTTCTTGTTTTAGTTTGGTATCAGTTTGTTTTAATTTGGTATTTAGTTTGGTATAATCATTTAATCATGATTGAATCTAGGTTTTATGGCGCAACAATCAGGGGGTTAGCTTTAAACCCACGGGGCTAGCTCCTCTAATAACACAGTTGAATTAACTCACTAGTGTTTAAACTGACACTTATGTGTTCTTGGAAGTACACAGTAATTCTTCAAGGGATACAAGGAAACGTGGATACATTTTAAGAGGATCAATTTCCACCTCCTTAACTTTCACACATACTCATACCTAAAAATGACTTTTCCCATCTCCCCTTTCAAAATAACCTCTTTCTCAAATTGCTCTAACACAAAAACCTCTTAACACAAAGGGACAATTTAAAATATCGGTGTTAATGAGGTCTAACAGCGGTTTCTAAAACTTTCATAAAATATTAAAAGTGGACCTAAATAAATTTTCAGCTGACAGATCATTAAAAATAATTTTTGATGATAGAACTATCGGTACTTTTCGGCATCTTAGCTCAGGTGGAGTTCAAAGTAAGAGAAACTTCTATAATAAAACTCTTTCTGCTCCCATCTACTCATTAATGAAAGCGATTCTTATGGTTTCCTTAAACATAAAAGGGACAAGTAGGAATAAAACTGATGCTGAATAGTGGATGCCAAATTTCTCAGTGTCAGTGATCAAAGTTCCAAAGATGGAAAGGAGATGGCCAGAAGGAATTCTGTGGTGTTAGACTGGAGGTATCAACATGTACCCCAGAGAGACAGAGGAAGAGAAAATGGATAGAGAGGCTTATATGTAAACTCTCTTCTAAAATAGTGAGAAAAAGGGGGGAAAAGTTTCAGTGGAGGAACCTGGCAGACACTACCTTAACTGGAGCGATGAACGTTAACATCACCAGCAATGGGCCACGTGCCTGCTCGTAGTGGAGGCCATGAGGCCACGTCATTCTGTGACATTCCTGTCCAAATTATAACTTTAATATAATCATGAGGAAACACGAGGCAAAACCAAATTAAGAAACACTCTATAAAATAACCAGACTATATGCTTCATAAATACCCAGGTCACGACAGACAAAGAGTAAGGATGGTTCCAGATTAAAGAAGACTAAAGAGGGCTGTAGATTAGATAACAGTACCTAATACCTCTTAGGGTCTGAATTGTGTCCTCAAAAATGCATATGATGAAACCACAACGCCCAGTACCTTAGAATGTGACCGTATTTGGAGATAGGGCCTTTAAAGAGGTAATTAAGGTAAAATGAAGTCAATAGGGTGGACCCTAACCCAATGTGACTAGAGTCCTTATAAGAAGAGGAGATCAGAACAGACATGCACCGAGGAAAGACCATGTGAAGACACAGGGAGAAGGAGGCGGTCTACAACTCAAGGAGAGAAGCCTCAGAAGAAACCAAACCTACAGACACCTTGATCTTGGACTTCCGGTCGCCAGAACTGTGGAAAAATAACTTTCTGTTGTTTAAGCCACCTAGTCTGTGGTATTTGTTATGGCAGCCCTAACAAACTAATGCAGTACCAATGTGAATTTCTTGATTTTTTAATTACGCAGTGGAAAAATAAGATGATGCCCTTGTGTTTAGAAAATACAAGCTGAAGTGTTAGGAGTTATGAGACATTTTGTCTGAAACATACTGGCGACTATATCAGAGAGAGACGAAATCCAGAATGAGAGAGAGAGAGAAGAGAAGAGAAAGTAAGAACACCAAAGCAGAAAGGGTAATATATTAACATTTGGGGAGCACAGGTAAAGGATAAGGGAAGTCTTTGTACTATTTTTGCAACTTGCTTTCTGTCTGAAATTATTTCAAAATAAAAAGTGTAAAAAACTTATGCCAAACCTAGTTTCATTCTAACAATAGTTAAATTTATGAATGGGTATATTAACTATTTTTGTTTTAAACCACAGCCATCTCATTAATAAGTAATATTTCCAATAATTTGTACACTGTATTTTTGACAATTATTTATCAAAATTTCATAAAATGATTGCTTTGATCACATATATACTAATAATGACATATCCTACCACAAACCTAAATTAAATTTTAACATTTATTATACATATTTCTCTTAGAATATTATCTTAGGATAATTAATAAAATACTTTAAAGCATAAAACATATTAGAATAAACTTTTGTTGGGTAATAGAAATACATATTCAGAAAGAAAAAAGAATGATGTTCAATTTTCCAATCATAAGACTTTGTCATGGTATTTTTAAGATGGACTATACAGGTATTAAGTTGCTATAGTACTTAGATTCCATTGAATTTATTTAAAAAATGATGAAAATCAATATTCAGAATATACTGGAAATTATACTCTCTGCAACTTTTAAATTAAACAAAACAAATGCAAGCTGTCAATATTTTTATTTATGAGAGAGAGTCACAGGTGCAGAAAGTGTTTGTAGCAAAAAATATTTGACAACTGTACTAGTTTATTTCCAAAGAGCTAGGTAACACAGGGTGCTCGTACTGAATAGCACTGACTGAATTGCAAATGATTATCCCTAGTCACCAGAGTATTATTTTTTGTCATTTTTGTTCCTAATCATCACTCGGCTTTTTCCATTAGTTCTAAGGTTACTCCATAGAACTCAGCTCTATTTCCAAAAAGGCAATTTCTCTAAATTATGAAGGTGGTAACTCCCATTTATATTGATTTAGCTTTATAAAAGGGTTAACGAATTTTTCCTTAACTTCAGAATTCCAGTAATGTCTCTAAAAGGGTTACTAGAGTTTATAGAATATACTAAATGTTTAACTCATTTAAAATATAAAAATGTAAAAGAAAGACGATAAATTCAACTATTTTAAAGTAAGACTTCATAAAATAATTGAACCTTCATTTATTATTCAGTAAACAGGGCAGGCCTGTTGTGAGGATTAAATGAGTTTATACTTATAGCATCTGACAAACATGCTGAGTTGCTTCACTTTTCCTCACAAATGACACTTTCCTGGTTGGTGTTAAAACACGCGTCGTTACTATCTTTTGTACAAGAATCTCAAATGCAGCACATCCGACAAACAATAAGGATTTAAATAACATTTTCCTTATTCATTTCAGTAGATATTGTGAAATATAAACTTATGCTTGAACATTTTACCTTTACATTAACTTCATTTTTCTTTTTTAAAAACTCATACCTTGAAATCAATGCAAAATATTACATTTTTCTTTTCCAAGGCATTTTAAGGCATTTCCTAAAATATGTACAACCAGGAATCACTCCTTCTGGCTTATAAAGGAAACTTACAGGAAAAAAACTACTTAACGTACTTTATTTAAAAGGTTTTAAATTAATATCAAGTAGTTAAAAAGGTGTTTAAAAAAGATTACTTACATTGGCACAGTGTAAGGCTAAAGCACAAAAGACGGCAAACATTTTGAAGTTGTTTTCATCTGTTTTGGAGAAGGCACTGCCACTGATTTTGTTCACCATCTGCACCACGCCGATCACGCTGCCTCGACTCACGATGGGCATGCACAGGATATTCCGGGTGGTGTAGCCCGTGTACAAGTCTACTTCTCTGTGGGAATGTTAAGGAACAAAACAACAATGCACAAGAAACAACAGGCAGAAGAAAATAAACGACACGTTCTATCACACATCTCAACTCAGTTTTGCGATGGACATGCCTCTACTACAAATGACTATAAGGGAACTGCTAGCTCTACGTTCAAGGACAATGTGACATTTGAAGGTGTTTTATTAAAACCTTTTCAAAAATATTCTATAACCAATTTGTTCTTTTGTTTTCAAGAGAGTTGTTCAGAACAGTCTCTACGAGGCTCTCAGCTTATCATTTGGTTTTAAGTATCCAGCATCACTAAGTAAACAGAGATGAACTGTAGATTCAGAGAAAAATATAATAAATTTGGTGAAATAACATGTTCCTTTGAACTTGGTCATATATATGAGAGATGAAACTTGTTAATAAACAAAGTTAAATGGGAGTTATCACCTTAAAAATTCCAAGCAGGGCTCAGAAAACCTTACTGTATGGGTCAAAGCAGTCCTCTCCTGTTTTATAGATGGAGTCTTAATGGAAGCCAACCACACCATTCCTTCATGGAGTACCACCGCCCTACAAGAGGACCGAGGCCTTGCGACAGAGCCATTATGGCTGATAAAGCCACAACTACTTACTATCTGATCCTTAATACAAAAGGTTTGCTGACTCCTGATTTACAGGAAATTCTTGATGAAAACAGGACTCAGTTCCACAGAAGCAACCATAGAACTAAAGGCAGTTAGTTAGGTGGTAGTCTTTTGTGCCCAGCTTCTTTCACTTAGAGTAATGTTTTTGAGAGTCATCCATGTTGCTGCACCTATCATTGGTTTGGCCTTTTTTTTTTTTTATTGTGAGGAAGACCAGCCCTGTGCTAACATCTGCCAATCCTCCTCTTTTTGCTGAGGAAGACTGGCCCTGGGCTAACATCCATGCCCATCTTCCTCCACTTTATATGGAATGCCACCGCAGCATGGCTTGCCAAGCGGTG